AGGGGGTGTAGGGGGAGATTTGGGGGTGCAAAGGGGATTCTGGCCGGCCGGGGACCGCAGGGGACATGCGGAGGATGCAAGGGGGTATGTAAAGGCGCAGAATGGGGGTTGCAGAGGAGGACGTAGGGATGCGGGAGGGATGCGGGGGGATGCAGAGGGGATGCGGGGCGGATGCAGGGCGGACGCGGGGGGTCCGCAGGCCGGCCGGCGGGCGCTGTGGAGCCGGGTTGGTGGGGGGGGTGGTCTCGGTGCCCGAGCGGCGGCGGAAGCGCTGAGTCAGGCGGGGATGGGAGGGGGGCTCGAGGGGGTCACGCACCTTCGTCCTCTCCCATAGGCTCGTCCCTCCAGGTGCAGCACAGCAGCATCAACCTCATGCAGCCGCGCTGCCCGGCGCCGCGCCGGGCCCTGCCGCTCCCGCGCCCCTGTCGCTGTCCCCCTGTCCCTGCCCGTGTCCCCCTGTGCCGGTCGGGCCCCCCCGGCCCTGCTGCGGCTCCGCGGGCGGCACCGCGGCGGGAGCACCGCGCCGGCGCGGCCGAGGGGGGGCGGGGCCTGAGCAAGGGGGGGCGGGGCCAGAGGGGGCAAGGGGCGGGGCCTGACAGACCCGGGTCGGGGTGGGACCGGGGCGTGGCCTGGGCGTGGTTAGTGGGGCGTGGTCAGTGCGGAGGGGCGCGGTCAGGAGTGTGGGCGGGGCTCGCGGGTGCGGGTTGGTGGCAGTGGGGTGTCCGGGGGTGTCCGGGGGTGTCCGGGACCTGCGGGGCGATGGGGCCGTCATGGTGGGCAGGGCACGGATGTCCCCACCCACCGCTGGCCATCATGGATGTCCCCGCCCGCCGTAGTGTCCCCAGCTACCCTGGTCCACCCGTCCCTGGCCGTCACGGGTGTCCCCAAATATCCCGGGCCAGCCCCGTGTCCCTCCACCCACCTCTGGCCTTCATGGGTGTCCCTACCCGCTGTGGTGTCCCCAGCTATCTCCAGCCAGGGTACAGGTGTCCCCACCCACCCCTGGCCGTCACGGGTGTCCCCATATGCTATGATGTCCCCAGCTACCCCCAGCCAGCCCCGTGGGCAGGGCACGGGTGTCTTTGCCCATCCCTGACCATCACGAGTGCCCCCTGGGCAATGCACAGCTGTCCCCACCTGCCATACCCGGGTATGGCATCACGGGTGTCCTGACTCACCTTGGTGTCCCCAAATACCCCAGGCCAGGGTACAGGTGTCCCCACATCCATCCGTAGCCCTCACAGGTGTTCCCACACACCCTTGCTGTCACTGTGGTCAGGGAACAGGTGTCACCATCTACCCATGGCTGTCACTGTGGGGTGTGACACAGATGTCCCTCTCATTCCCTGTGTTGTCACCCTGGGACAGGGCATGGACATCCCCCTGCATCCCCAGGCAGCCACCACAGGGCAGGGCATGGACTTTCATGCTGTGTCCATGGGTTTACACCATGGGACAAGGCATTGAGTCCCTTTTATTCCATGTACTGTCACCCTGGGACCGTGTCTGGGTGTATTTGCCATCCCCTAGGCTGGCACCATGGCCATCCCCTTTGGCCCTCAGGCTGTGACCATGGGGCAAGGCAGGGCCTCCTGCTGAGTTCCTAGATATTCTGAGTCCTGCTGAGTTGCCTGTGCATCCTCCTTTTCTCCCAGGCCGTTGCCCCAGGACAAGGCACAGATGTCCCCCTCACCCCCAGGACAGGGCACAGACCTCCCCCTGGGTCCCAGGGTTGTCACTGTGGGATAGGCTGTGGCCACCCCAATCATCCCTGGGGCTGGCACTGTGGGACAGGGCAGGGGCAACCCCGGGGTGCCCAGGCTGTCCCCTCACCCCGTGACCCAGAGCTGTGACAGTAAAGTGCCAGCATGTCCCCAGGCTTGTGCAGAGCCACAGGCACAAGACCGGGGGCAGTGACAGGGGCTGGGCTGGATTCCTCCATCATTGCCACCACCGCGGGGAGGGGGACACGGACACAGGACACAGGACAGAGCCAGAATCCTTTAAAAACTTGTCCTTTATTAGTCTGTCAGAAGCGAGTCCCTCTGTATAAGGGCGTCCCACCCAGTTATAGCAAAGTGAGCAACAGAAGGGACCGAGCCCCTCCTGCCCGCGGCCCCCCCAGACCGGGGGGATCGCGGGGACCGGCGTGGGGGGCCAGGCCGACGGGGCCATCCCTCCCCGTGCAGCCCCCGCCGCCGGCATCCCCTTCCCTCCCTCCCTTCCTCCAATGTGGGGTACCCCTCCTCCTGCCCCCCCCCCCCCCCGAGGGGTTTCAGCTCCGGGGCTGGGGAGGGGTGCGACCCCCCGAGCCCCCCCCCAAAATCCCGCAGAGAGCGATAGCACCAAGGGGGACGGCTGCTCCCCGCAGTTTATTCCGCGCTCCCTGCCGGGACCGAGGGGCTGGGGGGCGACGGATGCTGTCGGAGGTGCTGGATCCCTTCTGGGAACCCGGGGCCGGGGATGGCCCCGGGATGGACGGGGGGGATTTTGGGAAAGGGGGGCGTCTCAGCTTTGCTCGGGATTTACATTCTGGACCATGCAGTAGCACCAAAGTTCATGAGGTCAGCGGTGACGGCCGCGGTTACTTCCGCCTCCTCCCGCAGTACTTCCCTGCTGCGCAGCCCACGCCGCCTGCCATGGGGTGGGGGATGCACGGGGTGAGCCCCCCCTGCTCCCTCAGACCCCGGGAGGGGTGCTGGAGAAGGGCAGGGGGTGCAGGAGCCGGTCCCAGCACCAGCGCTCACCTCTAAAGCCCAGGGCACCGAGGGCTCCTCCGTAGGTCTTGGGGGGCTTCCCTGCAGGGGGAAGGCGGAGCTGGGTGAGCGGGACCCCCATTCCCTCGCACATCCCCTAGGGGGGATGTGCACCCCCCTACACACACCCCCAAAATGCCCCGCGCGGGGGGGATGGACACTCACCACCAAATCCCAGCTGGCCGCCGACCCCACCTGGAAGGAGAGCGAAGCCCTCAGCACCCGCTGGGCACCCACATCGCTCTGCCCTGCACCCCCCAGCTGAGCCCCCGGGGTCCCTCCCCAGGCCGTGGCCGTGTCCCTGTGCTCCGCGGGCTTTGCGTATCCCCGGGAGCCGGGCAAGGCACCGGGATGTGCCCGGGGTGTGTGCTGGGGGTGGTACCTGGAAATATCGGTGACACGCCGAAGCCGGGAACTCCAACCCCTGGGGAAAAAGTGACAGCCAGTGACAGCCTGTGACAGCAGTGCCACCCCAGCCCGGGCTGGGGACACCCTGGCTGGGTTCACTTGCTCAGTGCAGGGATAGGAGCCACAGCAAAAGCCCCTGTCCCTGCCATGGCACCCATCTGGCTTCCCAGTGCTCAGCAGGGAGTGGCAGCAGAGTGGGGACAGCATGTGGGGACAAGTGTGGTGTGGTGGGGGACACGCTCCCACCCCAGCCCCAAACCACAGCACTCACCTAGACCAGCACCAAAACCTGCAAGGGGAGAGCCCCAGTGAGGGTGGGGAGTGTGGGGATGGGGACAGGGATGAGGGCAGGGACTGGAGTCACCACTGCAGCTCCTCTGGCTGCTCCTTACCTGGCTTGGGAGGTTTCCCAGCAGCTCCTGGATATAAGAGTCCTGTGTCAGAGAGGGGCAGCAGCACAGCCCCTGCCCTGACTCTGTGCCCCCAGGGCTGAAGCCAGACCCTTCTATGGGCCCAGAGGGTACCCAGGAGGGACCTGCAGCTCCACATATGAGGGACATGGTATGGGAGGGACTGTCCCCTGTTCCCATGGCACAGGCAACACCGGTGTTATGGCCCCCCGTCCCTTCTCAGCAACAAATCACACCCTGGGAGCAGGGCAGGCACAGGGTGACAGTGTGGGGTGGGACTGTGTCAGGGGACCAGGAGGGACAAAAGTGACCCTTCATCCCATAGACCCCTTTCCTTCTGGGCACTCTGCTGGCACACAGCTGCCACTCCCTGCAGCCCAGCCCTGGGAGCCCCAGTGCCAGAGCCAGCATCACTCACCAACACCGAGCCCACCGACTCCAAGGCCACCAACTCCAAGGCCACCTATGACAGGTGAGCATCAGTGAGAACAGGCATTGTCTGATCCATTCCTTGTCCAGCCCCGAGTGTGTCCATCCTTCCTTGGGCAGCCCCACTCCCTCCATGCCCAGGGGGAGCATCCCTCTGTCCATCTCCCTCTAGGGGAGCATCCCTCCACCTGTATCCCTCTGGGAAAGCATCCTGCTGCTCACGTCCCTCTGGGGGAGCATCTCTGCCTGCACATCCCCACTGCTCAGGCTTGGCTCCTGCCAGTACTTACCTGGGAGGCCACCAACTCCTGGCACTCCAACCCCGGGCACACCTGCCAAAGAGGGAACATTAATGCCTGTCCCCCTACAACCTGGCACCCCCAGCTCAGAGCAGTCCCAGCCAGGTGGCCCTGGCACCCACCCTAGATGTCCCCAGCACCCATGACACACACAGGAGAAAAACGTCCCCATTGTGTCCAGGACAGGGGGTAGAGGTGGCACTTTGCACTCCTGGGTGACAGCACACCACCTCCCACGCCTGGGCCACCAGGGGACAAGGGAACATGCAGGGGACACAAAGTCAGCACCCTGATGGCCACTCAAGGAGAGTGCCTGGGGATAGTCTGAGGTGGGACCTGGGGCAGGGTGGCAGAGATACTTACCAAATTTGGGAGGTTTAGCACCTACTTGGGGGATGCCTGCCAAGTGAAGGAGGACACCTCAGTTAGGATGGTCACCCCTGCACACCTCCCACGTGCCACCATCCCCCATCCTGCCTGCATCCCCCCCTCTGCCACCCCTCCACCTGGCTGGGTGGCTCTCAGCGTTCCCAGCCACCGCTGTCCCCAAGCAGGGCCCCCACCGGGGTGTGACAAAGCATGTACCTGCCCCGGGGAGGACACCAGCTCCAGGGACTCCCACACCTGGCACCAACCCGGGCACACCGACACCGGGCACACCAACACCAGGCACGCCGACACCGGGCACGCCGACACCGGGCACGCCGACACCGGGCACGCCGACACCGGGCACCCCTCCGACCCCAGCTCCTGCAGAGAGAGGGTGAGGCAGCACGGGGTGACCCCTGCATCATCCCCATTCTTGCATGGGGGGATGTGCCTGGCACAGGGTGTCCACCCTCAACGCTCCCCAGTGTCCCCTGCACCAGCCTGTGCCCCTGCAGGTGATTGGTGGGTTTCTCTGGCCGACTCACCGAATTTCGCTGCCTTTGCTGCTGCTTTTGCTGCTGCGGCCGGACCTCCAACCCCTGCACGGAGACAGCAGGAGGGTCTCAGCACCCCTGGAGGGTTCCCTCAACAAACCTGGGCAGAGCCCTGTCTGCATCCTCCCGGGGGAACCATGAGTTGATGGAGACCACCGAGGTTTTCCTCACGCCTATCCTGCACCAGGACTGTCCCCACACCAGCCTGGCTGCCACCACCACCTGCCTCCCTCCTCCTCACCTGGGATGCCTCCAACACCAGGGACCAGGCCACCCACTCCTGGAACCAGGCCACCTACTCCGGGAACAAGGCCACCTACACCGGGAGCCAGGCCACCTGCTCCTGCAAGGACAGAGGGAATTGGGGAACTGGGGCTTTGGCTCAGGGAGAGAAGGGGTGGGAGGAGTGGGCTGAGAAGGCATGGCAGGCTGGGGTGGGAAGATGGATGGATGATCAGTGGTTGAATAGATGGATAGTGAGATTGATGAATAGATGGATGGTGAGATGGATGAATGATTGAATGGATGGTGACATGGATGGATGGTTGAGATAGATGGATGTGGAGTGGTTGAATGGACGGTGAGATGGATGGGTGGATGGATGTACAGGCAAGGGAACAGATGGATACTGAGATGGGTGGTGGTGGGTAGAAGAGAGGGTGCTTGGATGGTGAACCTCAGACGCTCCATCCAGGCCAGCTCTCTGGAGAGTAGCCCTGACACAGCCAGACCCACATCCCACCCACAGCTCTGGGAAGAGCTCATCCCTCACCCTGACCCACAGGGACCCGGTGCAGGGCTGGACCTCGGCCCCAACCAGGGTTGGGGGCAGCAGGAGACAGGACAGGCAGGACAACCCTGGAGAGATCCCAGCTTACCGAACTTGGCTGCTTTGGCGGCTGCTTTGGCGGCTGCAGGACCAACTCCTGGGGGAGAGGGGAGGAGAGGGGCAGTGATGGATGGGCCATGGTGGCCACACCGGCACCCCCCGCCAGCACCGCTGGGGACACCGGAGTGTCCCATGGACACCACCTCACCTGGAATGCCGACCCCACCAGGCACCAGACCGGGCACACCCACTCCAGGAACACCAACTCCGGGCACACCAACACCAGGAACACCAACACCGGGAACGCCGACTCCGGGAACGCCGACGCCGGGAACGCCGACGCCGGGAACGCCGACGCCGGGAACGCCAACGCCGGGAACGCCAACGCCGGGAACGCGTCCTGCTCCCGCAGAGAGGTTCCAGGATGTGGCTGAGCAGGTAGGCTCCACAGCAGGGGTCCCACTGACCCTCCTCACCACCCAGAGCACCAGGGTGGCCCCCACTCCACCCAAGGCAAACATCTCTCCCACCCCCCAGGGAAGGGCTGGTGGGGACTCACCTTTAGCTGCGGCTTTCGCTGCCGCCTTCGCCGCGGCCGCTGCGGCTGCCGGGCCACCCACTGCGGGGACACGGGGGACAGTGAGGGGACAGGCAAGGCCAGTGGCACACCACCGGCTGGGGACAGCCCAGCTGCTCACCTCCAACACCGGGCACCACGCCAGGAACTCCGGGCACGCCGGGCACGCCCGGGACACCAGGAACACCAGGAACACCGGGGACGCCAGGGACGCCAGGGACGCCGGGAACACCAGCGATGCCAGGAACGCCAGCTCCTGCAGGCAACGAGATGGGAGAAGGTAGGTTTGTTGCAGCAACAGCTGAAAGGGTGAGACATTATCTTGGCTCTGCTCTTGTCATCGTGCTGTGGTGAACAGAGCATCCCATGGCCTTGTCCAGAACAGACCAAGCAGTGCAAGGGAAGGATCAGCTCCCTGTCTTGCTAGACCCAGAAGGATGCACTTGGTGATTCCCACTGTGTTTTTGGAAGGTGGTGGGTAACCCTGGGCAGAGGTTCCTCTGCCAGGGGTCTCTGCTCAAATGGCAGCAGGGTTGAGCCCTTGGCACAAGATCCTGTGTCACGTCTGTTGCCAGAAAACAGCTTTGTAACAAAATCCAAGATCAAGTCCAAAGTTGTGAGCCCGGTCTCCCCATTCCCTCATACGTACCATATTTAGCTGCCTTTGCTGCTGCTGCTGCCGACGGCACCCCTGGGGACAAGGAGAGAGGGACCCTCAGCCACCATGGCCCCACAGAGCCGGGTGGTGGGGACAGGGCTCCTGGGAACAGTCACCTGCCACCCCGGGGACAGCTCCGGGCACCAGTCCGGGGACACCTCCAACTCCGGGCACGAGGCCTGGGACACCTCCGACCCCAACACCGGGAACGCCAACACCAGGAACACCAACACCAGGAACACCAGCTCCTGCAGGGAGCAAGAGGGGAACAGTCAGAGCTCATTGCAGCAACAGCTGAAAGGTCCAGGGACCTTGTCATGGCTCTGCTCTTGTCATGGTGCCATGGTGAGCAGAGCATCCCAGGCCTTATCCAGGAGAGAATACAGCAGTGCCAGGGACGGATTGGTCCCCTGTGTTGCTAGACCCAGAGGGATGCACTTCCTGGATGCCACCAAGTCTTTGGAAGGGGGTGGGTGACCCTGGGCAGGGGTCCCTCTGCCAGGGATCTCTGCTCACCCTGCCGGTGAGGCTGAGCCCTTGGGCACCAGATCCTGTGTCAGATCTTCTGCTGGAAAGCAACTTTGGTATAAACCCCAGATATTCAGACCAACTGCAGAGACATGAGCTGGGTCTCCCCATTCCCTCGTACGTACCGTATTTAGCTGCCTTTGCTGCTGCTGCTGCCGACGGCACCCCTGGGGACAAGGAGAGAGGGACCATCAGCCACCACAGCCCCACAGAGCCGGGTGGTGGGGACAGGGCTCCTGGGAACAGTCACCTGCCACCCCGGGGACAGCTCCAGGCACCAGTCCGGGGACACCTCCAACTCCGGGTACGAGGCCTGGGACACCTCCGACCCCAACACCGGGAACGCCAACACCGGGAACGCCAACACCGGGAACGCCAGCTCCTACAGGGAACAAGAGGGGAACAGTCAGAGCTCATTGCAGCAGCAGCTGAGAGGTCCAGGAATCTCTGCCCAAATGACAGCCAGGCTCAGCCCTTGGGCACCAGATCCTCTGTCAGGATCCTGTGTCTGCTGCTGAAAAATTGGAATTGATACAAAACTCATGATTTCAGATTAAGTCCAAAGACATGAGTTGGGGTCTCATCGTTCACTTGCATGGAGCAGCTTCCAGAGACCCTGGAAGAGGGAGAAGGTCCCACCCTGGGGATGAAGCCAAGCCTGGCTGGAGCAGCTGGGAGCTGGGCTGAGCACATCCCACCCTCCCTCTGCAGTGATCCCCAGGGAACCCCCTGTGTGTGGCGGGCTCAGAGGGTGCTCAGGGCTCTGGGGGCTCCGCACAGCACGTACCGATCTTAGCTGCCTTTGCTGCTGCTGCCGCCGACGGCACCCCTGGGGACAAGGAGAGAGGGACCATCAGCCACCACAGCCCCACAGAGCTGGGTGGTGGGGACAGGGCTCCTGGGAACAGTCACCTGCCACCCCGGGGACAGCTCCAGGCACCAGTCCGGGGACACCTCCAACTCCAGGTACGAGGCCTGGGACACCTCCGACCCCAACACCGGGAACACCAACACCAGGAACACCAACACCGGGAACACCAACACCGGGAACACCAACACCGGGAACGCCAGCTCCTACAGGGAACAAGAGGGGAACAGTCAGAGCTCATTGCAGCAACAGCTGAAAGGTCCAAGGACCTTGTCATGGCTCTGCTCTTGTCATGGTGCCGTGGTGAACAAACATAGCACTGCCCCATCCAGGAAAAACAACACTGGGGCAAGGGAGGGAGTGGTCCCCTGTCTTGTCAGACCCAGTCAGATTCATTTGCTGGATGCCACCAGGTCTTTGGAAGGTGGTGGGTGACCCTGGGCAGGGGTCCCTCTGCCAGGGATCTCTGCCCACCCTGCCAGTGAGGCTGAGCCATTGGGCACCAGATCCTGTGCTAGTTCTGATGCTGGAAAGCAACTTTGGTACAAACCCCAGAAATTCAGACCAAGTGCAGAGACGTGAGCTGGGTCTCCCTGTTCCCTCGTACGTACCATATTTAGCTGCCTTTGCTGCTGCTGCTGCTGACGGCACCCCTGGGGACAAGGAGAGAGGGACCCTCAGCCACCACAGCCCCACAGAGCCGGGTGGTGGGGACAGGGCTCCTGGGAACAGTCACCTGCCACCCCGGGGACAGCTCCGGGCACCAGTCCGGGGACACCTCCAACTCCGGGCACGAGGCCTGGGACACCTCCGACCCCAACACCTGGAACGCCAACACCAGGAACACCAACACCAGGAACACCAGCTCCTGCAGGGAGCAAGAAGGGAACAGTCAGAGCTCATTGCAGCAACAGCTGAAAGGACCAGGGACCTTTTCATGGCTCTCCTCTCATCCTCCTGCCGTGATGAGCAGAGCATCCACTGGTCAGACTGGGAAGCTGCCCAGGGCACTGACAGCCCTGACCCAGGGCCATGGGAACAAGCATCAGGTCACTTCTGGAAGGACCCACTGCAAGAGATGCCCAATGGGCAGAGGCACCACAGCACAGAGCACACTCTGCCAAGGTTCTCCCTGAATCCCATCCTTCCCTGAGTATTTGGTGGGACGTTTTTATTACAAAATACATAGGAGAAATGGAAGAAATGGGCATTAGTGGTTTAGCTCTCAAAGGAGAGCTGCCATCAAGCATGGCTCCACTTGAATATTGCCAGAGCTTAGCAGTGATGATGGAGAAGAAGGTCCTGGGACATGGTCAGGTAACCATTGGCTCTGCCTTTTGGAGCTGCATTTGGATCACAACATGGACCCACAGCACCGTGTGGAGCCTCAGGGCCAGTTTCACCTCTTCTCTGTGCCTGAGCTCCTGGCCCTCCTCCACTTGGCCATGTCCCTCCTCCCCACTGGAGCTCCATGGAGTGGTTATGCCTACTGGGCAAGACCCAGGCGGATGCACTTGTTGGATGCCACCAGGTCTTTGGAAGGGCGTGGGTGACCCTGGGCAGGGGTCCCTCTGCCAGGGATCTCTGCTCACCCTGTCAGTGAGGCTGAGCCCTTGGGCACCAGATCCCGTATCAAGTCTGCTGCTGGAAAAATGGATTTGGAACAAACCCCAAGAATTCATACCAAGTGCAGAGACATGAGCTGGGTCTCCCCATTCCCTCGTACGTACCATATTTAGCTGCCTTTGCTGCTGCTGCTGCCGACGGCACCCCTGGGGACAAGGAGAGAGGGACCATCAGCCACCTCGGCCCCACAGAGCCGGGTGGTGGGGACAGGGCTCCTGGGAACAGTCACCTGCCACCCCAGGGACAGCTCCGGGCACCAGTCCGGGGACACCTCCAACTCCGGGCACGAGGCCTGGGACACCTCCGACCCCAACACCGGGAACGCCAACACCGGGAACGCCAACACCGGGAACACCAGCTCCTGCAGGGAACAAGAGGGGAACAGTCAGAGCTCATCGCAGCAGCAGGTGAAAGGTGGGACCTTGTCACGGCTCTGCTCTTGTCATGGTGCCGTGGTGAGCAGAGCATCCCAGGCCTTATCCAGGAGACATCAGTGAAGGGAGGGATGTGTTCCCTGACTCTTCCAGCAATCACTGGGAAGTCACCACAACAGAGGACCACAACGATCCTCATCATCACGGGGGGCTCAAAGTGGTCTTCATCATGGGGCCTTGCAGCCAAACAGGCCACAGAGGAGAACTGGTTGGTGGTCCTGAGTAGCTCTGTGGAAGGGCTGAGTGCCCAGGGCACTGGTCAGATTGGGGAGCTGCCCAGGGCACTGAGAGCCATGACCCTGTGTCAGAGCAGATCCTGTGTCAGATCTGCTGCTGGAGAAATGGATTTGGAACAAACCCCAAGAATTCAGACCAAATGCAAAGACATGAGCTGGAGTCTCATCATTCCACAAAGCAGCTTCCAGAGACCCTGGAGAGGGAGAAGGTCCCACCCCAGGGATGAAGCCAAGCCTGGCTGGAGCAGCTGGGAGCTGGGCTGAGCACATCCCACCCTCCCTCTGCAGTGATCCCCAGGGAACCCCCTGTGTGTGGCGGGCTCAGAGGGTGCTCAGGGCTCTGGGGGCCATGGGGGCTCTGCACAGCACGTACCGATCTTAGCTGCCTTTGCTGCTGCTGCTGCCGACGGCACCCCTGGGGACAAGGAGAGAGGGACCCTCAGCCACCACAGCCCCACAGAGCCGGGTGGTGGGGACAGGGCTCCTGGGAACAGTCACCTGCCACCCCGGGGACAGCTCCAACTCCGGGCACCAGTCCGGGGACACCTCCAACTCCGGGTACGAGGCCTGGGACACCACCAACTCCAGGCACTGCCCCTGGAGCTGAAGGGAAGCAGAGCAGTCAAACTCCCCCAAAACACCCCTCTCAGCCACTGGGCTGTCCCAGGGTCTCAAGAGACTCCAGGGTACCTGACTTTGTAGTGGGCTCCCCCTCCTCACAAAGTAGCTGCTCAGGGAACCCGAGTACACCCAGGACTGCAATTCCCAGCTCCCTACGCCCAGTTCAGGGGTCTGGAGGCCACCCAGGATCTTGGAGACCCCCAGGGCTGGGGCTGTAAATTCCAGCTGTGCCCAGGGCTGGCATGTTTTCCCTGGATGCTCCAATGAGTGCTTTACTACCCATTTTTCTCCTTCAAAAGAGCCAAGGAGGAAACAGAGAGAAGGAGATCTGCATCATGAGGAGCATTCCTCTGCTAAGGAGTGGCAGCTCGGTACAGACACCATGTCCCTCGACACCCTGCTGGCACCTGGCACAGCAAACCCCTGTCTCTTATGGAGAAGCCACATGTAAGGGGGATGCACTGCCCCATGTGAGGGGGATGCACTGCCCCAGGTGAGGGGGATGCACTGCCCCAGGTGAGGGGGATGCACTGCCCCAGGTGAGGGGGATGCACTGCCCCATGCCAGGCTGCTGCATCACGATGGGCCAGTCAGCCCTTCGTCACTGCCCAAAAAGCTGTAGAAGCCAGGATAGAGAACTGGGAGAGCACCCCAGGAGGTGGGACAGGGGCTGCTGGGGCAGGTGGTGGAGCCACACAGCCCTGCTATCAGTGAAGGCTTCTCCATGTCCCGAGGTGTGTCCGAGGCACCGGGAACTCACCGAAGGCTCCTGCCTTTGCCGCCGCCTTTGCTGCTGCCGCTGCCGCCGCTGGTCCTCCAACTGTGGGATGTCAGAGAGTCAGGGGTGTGGGACAAGGGGAGGTGACCCCCCCTTGAACCCCAGGGCCAAGCCCTGTCACCTCCTCACCTCCAGCTCCTGGCACTCCGGGTACCAAACCGCCGACTCCTGGGATGCCGCCAACCCCGGGCAGGACACCGGCTCCTGCCACAAGGGAGAAGAAGATGGTCAGCCCAGCAGTGCAGAGACACGACCAACACGCCCCCAGCCTGGCAGGGAGGGCCCAGCTGCCCCGCTGGGGACACGCGCGGTGGATGTGCCGTGCAGGGCCACTCACCGTATTTGGCTGCTGCCTTTGCCGCGGCCGCCTGAGCTCCGACTCCTTGGGAAGGACATGGGCAACCGCTGAGGTGCCGTCCCCACCACGGCTCCCCCACCCCACAGGGACCCTGGGGACCGGGCACTCCTGCCAGCATCTGTCCCCTTCACCTCTGGGACACGATGCACCCTCCAGGCTGTCCCCTGGGGTCACCAGGCAGCTGGGCAGTGCCCAACACCCCGAAGGGACAGGGTGCCCGGTCCCCCTGCCCTGCCCATGCCAGTCCCACACCCTGGGGCTGCGGGGTCGGAGTGTACCTGTCCCGGTGGGATACCCTGCCTTCCCTGCCACAAGGCCTGCTCCTGGCCCACCGGGCCTGAGGCCTGCAACCACAAACACAACGGCACAGCCACGTCAGGCACCGGCCCGAGGAAGGAGGAGGAAGGAGCAGCTCCCTTGCCCAAAGGGTCTCCTCCCCCTGGCACCGAAGGATGCCCAGAGCCAGCTCCTCCCCAGCCCAGATGCCACTTCAAACATCCCCTCCTGGAGCTGGCGGTGGCTCAGGATGTGTCCTACGGATCAACAGCTCCCAGCCCCGTGGCGTGGGGTACTGGGAGGGTTGACGGTCTCCCAGCCAGGCCCACAGCCATCATGGGCAAGGCATGAGGTCCCCAGGGAACCACCTGGGAGTGGGATGCCCCTCACGCCGCCCCGAGGGTCGCGGTGGCAGCCAGCGCAGCCACGACCGCAGAGTGAGGGCTATGGGCACTCACTGTGGGGCAGCTTACCATTGGTGTAGGGCAATCCATAGCCACCTGGAGAGGAGAGAAGGTGGGGGGTTAGCACCTGGCTGCCCCTGGCTGTGCTCCTGCCCCTCTCTGCCAGCCGCCTGAGTGGAACCTGCCCTGGGGGCTCCTTCCATCGGGATAGTAAATCCTCCAGGATACAAACCCCCGTGGAGGAGCCAGGCCAGGAGATGCTGTTCTCCCTCACCTTGGAAGCAGTGGTTCCAAGGAGAGCTGCCCGCTCCCAGCCCTGTGCCAAGGGCTGTGGAGCCTGAAGCTGGTTTTGCGGGAGCCTCCCATGACCCCGCTCTGGTGGGGGGTCCCCCGGGAGCCCCGCGGCAAGAGCTGTACCCAGCTGGCTGCGCCACAGCCAGCTCCAGAGGAAAGGTTTTAATTGGAATCAGGGCTTGGGAGCCTCCACTGAAACGTGACCTCCTTAGGAGGTCGGCCTGAAGGGACAGGGAGGGATTAGGAGCGGGAACATCGTGGCCAGGGAAGCATCTCCTTGCGAAAGAGCCGGATCCCAGCGGATCCCAGTGCTTGGAAGGGCATGGGGATGCCCCACACTCATCAGGAACTGCACCCTGGGGAGCAGCATCCAGCTCCCATCACTGCTGGCAGCGACCTGAGGGGAGGAGATGGGCTGCCACATTCCTGATGGGAACAGCAGGCAGGGCGGAGAGCATCCCACACCCCAAGCCCTCCTGCCGAGGGGGCCGCCCTGGGCAGGGCAGGACTGGATTGCTCATGGCACAGCATCTCCCTGACCGCAGGACACCATCCCCTCCCACAGCCAGCATGTGGGGACCAGATTTCCCTGCACCCTGCCAGGCTGTCCCATGGTGTCCCACACCAGCACAGCGCTGCTGGAGGGCAGAGCCTTTTCCAGGCTGTGGCAGCTGTGAGCTGTGTCCCCCCCCCTTGCCCATCTTGGGGCACCTCATCAGCACTTGGCTCACCCCAAAGCTGTGAAAGGGTCTGGCACTGGGGTGACACTCCTGGAGGTGACTCCAAGAGTTCAGGTCCTTGGGTCTCCAAGGGTTTTGCCGGTCCCTCCCCACCCTGAGCTGGATGGGAGAGCAGCTCCTGCCCTGGGCTGTGCCCATGGGGATGTCACCAGAAGTGCCAGGGTGGGTCAGGCCAATGGGCACAGTGGGTGGCACGGGAAGGGCTCTGCACAGACTGATGTCACCCAAGCACAGCTGGACACTGGGATCCCTACAGCATCAATGGGACCTTGATCTCAGCCACAGCTTCAGGTCGAGCCCCCAGTGAGGGGGGTGACCCCAGGGCCACCTCCTGAGCAGTGACAGCACAGGAGCAAATCATCCAACAAGGTGACCTCCCACTGACAGTGTTCTTTGCCCTGTCCCCTCATCCCTTCTCAGCCCAGACCTGCTGCAATGGGGACAGCACAGGGGAACACCCTCATGAGTGGCAGCCCCCGGATCCATCTGCAGCACCAAAACAAGAGCCTCTGCAGTCAGCCTGGCCTTTCCTGCACTGCCAGCCCCAAATCCTCAGAGGGGACAAACTGACATTCCCCAACACCCCAGGAACAACCTGAGTGTCAGGTGAAACTGCAGCTGGGGACAGCCCTGCTGTCCTGCACCCACGGGGCTCCCTGGCCATGGGGAGAGTGTCCTCCCGGCATATATTTGGTGAAGACTCCCCGGAGGTGGCTCGGCTGGGCTGTGGGCCACCGTGGGAGGGAGCCAGGCACGGCTGGCAGCTTGTCCTGCACACCGGGCACCCCATGAAAGGCGGTTTGGGGCCGGGAGCCCAGACGGGATCCGGCGGCGGGGCCCTGACGGGCGTAACTGTGCTCGGCGGAGGAAACCAGGGCGGGCCAAGTATTCCCGCTGCCGTCTGTGGTGACGGGCCCCGTCGGGGGGAAGCCGGCAGAGCTGCCGGGGCTGGCGCCCGTGCCAGGCCGGGATGTGCTTCCCGAGGGTGGGCTGCCCTTGCCCGGGCTCTCCTGCCTGCAGCAACCTGGTGAGTGGGGAAAGCAGCCCCCCAGGCGTGGGGGTCCCTGCCCAGATCTGGCTGCCCTCCTCCTCCTCCTCCTCGAGGGTGCACTTGGAGCTGGCAGCACGGCCCCTGGAGGGCACAGCGTGTGCCACTGTCCCTCCATGGGCAGAACTGGCACAGGGCTGGGGGATGGAGTCCCCCGGATCAGCCCAGCCTGGGAAGGGGGTGCTGAGCTCCACCAGGCTTCCCTGGGGTGGGGCTGAGCCTCTTTGGGGTGGACAGTGGGGAGGGAGACCTGCCTGGAGCATCTTGGCACAGCTGCTTGAGCCAGGACGCCTGGCCCAGGTGAATGCCTGGCACAACCCCAGGAGGCACAGTGAGAACACAGCCCCTGCAAGGGCTGTGCCTCCTGCCAGGAGGAGCTGGCAGGGACACCTCGGGGTGGCCTGGCCAAAGCACATCCCCAGAACACGACCTTTCCTACCTTACACCAGCTGGAGAGAGGCACAGCATTGTCCATGTGGACCAGGGGCAAGAGCAGAGGCATCATCCCAGCACCTGCCCATGGGGCAGCTGCAGGCAGGGCTGCCTGCCCAGGAGCCCATTTGCCCAGAGCCCTGGGCTCTGTCCTGCTGTCCCAGGGCCAGCACCAGCACTGCCAGGTCCAGGGGACCCGTGGGCACAGCCCCAGGGGAACGGCGGGTCCTTCTCCTGACACTGCCGGGGGTCCTCCACCCGCAGCCCCGCTGGCTGTGGCAGCAGCTTACCTGGGAGCTTAGGAGCTTTGATGGGATACCCCAGAGGGACACCGGGCTGCTGACCTCCAAAACCTCCCAGTCCTGCAAAGCCAACAGCACACTCTCACCTGGAGCCCGCGCCACGACCGCCACCAGTCCTTGGGAGAGGGGAGCGCCCCAGGGCACCCCAGGAGAGGAGAGTGGGTGGCCTAGGAAGCCCTGAGGCATCTTCTGGCGTGGGGAGACCATGGCTGTGATGGACAGGCTTGGGAAGGAAGAGAAGGACAGGCAAGAGAGATGGGACACTCACCGGGGATTCCTCCAAAGGCTCCAACTCCTGAAATCAAACACAAGGACACCTGTGTGAGCCCCTGGGCTGGGCCTGGAGGCCCAAATCAGCCTGAGGGGGTTCAGCTGGAGGTTGGCTGAGCTCGCCCATGTGCCCTGGAGGGCTGTAATCCCAAAGGATGGGCTGGAGCCAGCTCCAGTGGGATGTGGGGACAGAGCTGGAGCCAGCCATGAGCCCATCCTGGTGTTCCCAGTGGACTGAGGGACCTACCTGGACCTTTAGGCTTGACTCCAGCTCCAGTGGGTACTCCGGGCAGCACCCCTACACCAGGGAAGCGAACGCCTGCAGCAGAGAGCCGAGGGTGAGCCGGGGCATCGTGATGTTCCTGGTACCCAAGACCACCACACCCAGCTCCTAAATCCTTGTCACCCACCTCTGGCTCAGAACTAACTGTGGGACAGGGCACCCTCATCCTCAGGGGCTTGCCAGGACTGCTCTGTGCCAGCCTGCCTGCACCCCCAGCTGCCAGGGAAGGGTTTGCTGCAGCCCTGGAGCTGCCTGGGGCTTGGAGAGTCCAGAGTGAACTTGGCACTCAGGAGTGAGTGCCACCACTGACAGCAAAGCACAGCCAAGCCTCTGCCCTGGAGATGCACAGTGGCCTCAGGACTCTTCCAGGAGCAGGGGGTGGTCCTGCCTGCTGGACCCCAACCCTCCCAGGGCAGCAGACAGTGTTTTGGCCTGGCAGTGTTAAGGTTGGGGTTTTGGGTTTCGAGTTTCTCTTTCGTTTGGTTTTGGTTTGGTGATTTTTTTTTTTTCCCTTTTACAAATGTCTTTCATTATAACTCGTGCGTTTTCAGACATGGAAAAGACATTCCTGACCAGCAACACACTTCTTCTCCGGACAGTGTCGAAACATCTTGTTTTCACAAGTTTTCCTCCCCCAAATTACTCTGCACTGAGGAATTCCTCTCTCCCCGCCACCTCCTCCCCCTCCTTCCCACGCCAGCCCTGCCGTGGCCATGCCAGCTCCTCTCCCGGTGCCGGTGCCGCCTGCTCCCGCTGAGCTTGGCACGGGACCCCCGGAGATGCCGGGTCCCCCCTGCCGTCGGCGCAGTGGAAATGTCACCGTGACCTCAGCAGAAGGGTTTGGAAGCTGCAGGGAGCAGCGCGGGGCAGACAGGGAGGCTGGCAGGGGCAGGGCAGGGCGCTCTGCCCACGTGGGGTGCTGGCACCGGGCAGGGGGACTCCTTGGAACTTGGGGTGCTGGTGGCGGGGTAGGGATCCTTTTGGAGGTTGTGATGCTGCTGGTGGGGTTGGGAATCCCTTCAGAAGTTGGAGTGCTGCTGGTGGGATGGGGATCCCCTCAGAGGTCAGGGTGCTGCTGACAGGGTGGAGGGTGAAGACCCCCTTGGAGGTTGGGGTGATGCTGGCGGGATGAGGACCCCCTTGGAAGTTGGTATCCTGCTGGTGGCATGGGAATCCCCTCAGAGGTCAGGGTGTTTCTGGCAGGGTGGGCACCCTCTCAGAGGTCAAAATGCTGCTGGTGGGGCTGGGACCCCCACAGAGGTTGGGGCGCTGCTGGTGGGTGGGCTGGGGACCCCCCACTCACCTGCTCCGGGGAGCACGCCGCCCGGAAAAGCTCCAGGAATCCCAGCACCTGCCAGGCAAGAGAAATCCAGGGATGAGGGCCCGGGTGCAGTGGTTTCCCTCCCTGGCCCCTGGCTCTGGGGCCGTGCACCTACCTGGTATTTTAGGGGGTTTCCCTGCCGCACCAACCCCGGGCTGCACCGCGCCCGGTACCACAGCACCTGCAGGCAGCAGAGACCCCTGAGCCCCGGCACCGGCTCCTGCCCGCCCCGGCGGGCACGGCGACAGGTCTGCCCCAGGCTTGGCTACGCTGGGGACGAGGGGTGTTTCCTACCTGTGGAGACCCCGAGGCCACCGGGACCACCAATTCCACCCACGCCTCCAAGGCCAGCACCTGGGGGCATTGGGAAGAGGAGTGTGCCAGCGGGAGATGCCACCGCTGAGCTGCGGCTGGCCGGAACGGTGCCAAAGAAGCGACAAGGTCAGAATGGCTCTTGGAGGAGAGGGGAGGGGCAAAGAGGGCATCCTGAGGCAGTACCAGGGTGTACTGGGCACGGGGACCCGGCAGCTCGGTGCTCTCTGCTCCTGGGGGCTCAGGTTTGACTGGTTTACCTGTGCCTGGGTCCCTCCAAACTGGTGGGCATCCCAGTGGGAGCAGCACCTCCTGGTTGCGGCCCCCCCAGCTCCAGGGGGATATCTTTCCTAACCTAAAGTCCCAGGGGACACCAGGAGTCCCCAGGGGCTGCAGGAGCCCCGGTGTGGCCGTGGCCTTACCCAGACTCCCCCCCCCCCAGCACTCACCAGCTTTTGCAGCAGCCTTGAGAGCTGCGGCCGAGGCGGCCCCTGGGAAGGCCCCCCCAGGGAAGGCACCTCCTGGGAAGAGACCTGCAGCACCTGTGGGGAGAACAACCAGCGTGAGCATCCCCAAAAAGCAGCTGCCAAGGGGGTGTCCTGCCCTCCGTGGTGGGTGCAGAGCTGGGGGGGCTGCGCGGCGGTGCCAGGGCTGGCGTTAGGCTGGGCGAGGCAGTGGTTAGCAGGCACTGCCCTGTCCTGCATCCCCCAAATTCCTGCTCCCATCTGCATCCCACGCATCTCAAACACCACCCTGCAGTGGGTGCTGCCACCCCTGCAGCCCCGGGGGGAGCTGGCTGACCCTGTGCAGGCATTGCCCCTCTGTCCCTCTGCAGACCCCAGACTGCTCCTCGCCTGTGGGGTCACCCCTCTGTGGTTGATGCTGTGGTGTTGGGGGGACCACAGGGCTGCCTGCTGGTGGCTGCAGTCCCTCAGGCCTGGGAAGGGATGCCCAGGGAGGGTATGGAGCGCTATGGAAAGACAAGGGACGTGCTGTCCCCAGGGCAGGTCTCTGGGGACATCGGTGGTCTGTGCTCACCTGGCTGCAGGCCAAGTGGGCCGAGTCCCCCAAGTCCTGCGACCCCTGGAAAGAAAAGCGGGTGGGCAGCCCAGAGGAGCAGAGGAGTCCCTGCTGCACCATCCCCATGGGATGGGAGCACACCGGGGGGACGGGTGACAAATGCCCTCGGCAGCAGCCGCATCCTCCATCCTGTCCCCTTCTGCCTCAGCCACCCCCCGCCCCGCCGGGCCACGAGGGGACGGAACCAAAATGTTTATGGCTGAGGAATGAGCCCCTGGGTCTCCGGCCAGCGCTGCCTTCCAACATCTGGGGCTCATCAGCCCTCGCTCCCTCCAGGCGCAAATTCCAGTGCCGCTGGCTCGGGGCGCGGACACCGCTCCGGCTGAGCCCTCGCGGCCGCCCCGCGTTTGGTTTTAATTACGCCGAAGTAAAGGGCCTTGTTTTTCTTTCCACGAGCTGAAATCTGAGTAAACGGAGGTTGCCGGCCCCCGCCTCGGGCTGGCGCTCCCGCCGCGCAGACGGGCCGGCTCGGGGGGCCGGGGGGATGGGGTGACCCTGCCCCGGGCACAGCAGGTACCCCGGGGTGGGCAGGGAGGGGAGACCCCTGTGCCCGCCTAAAGCAGCATCTCTCCGTGGGTGACAACTAGCACTGGGCAGACAGCGGTAGGACAAGGGGGAATGGTTTTAAACCAAAAGAGGAGAGATTTAGATTGGATGTCACAAAGACATTCTCTGCTCAGGGGGTGGGGGGAGGCCGTGGCACAGGTTGCCCAGAGAAGCTGTGGCTGCCCCTGGATCCCTGGAAGTGTCCAAGGCCAGGTTGGACAGGGCTTGGAGCAACCTGGGCTGGTGGAAGGTGATCCTGCCCATGGCAGAGGGTGGAACAAGATGATCTTTCCAGTCCCTTCCAACCCTGGCCATTCTATGTTTCCATGATGTCGCTTGGCAACAGATTTGCCCCCTGCACATTCAGTCCCTGCTGCCCCAGCACCTTTCCCACTGGTTCCCTCAGGCTGTGCATCCTCCTGCTAGCATCTCACCCCTCTCCCAGTGATGTGCCCTCACCCCTCTCATTTCTAGGCCAGGCCAACCCCAGCGTGGCTGCAGGAGCCCCAGCAAAAGCTGCTCAGCTGCGATGGCAGGCGAGCGGAGGTGCTGCCAGCTTCCCACGGGACACCGGCTCTGCAGCTCCCCCAGATGCTTTGGCGCAGCTCTGCAGGTAGCTGGGGGTGCTGGAGGGGAGGGGGCAGCACATCGAAGCGGGGGGGTGAGGGAGGGAGGCTCCTGGAGGCTGTAGCAGGGCAGGGATGCTGTGTGCCTCGGCCAGGGGGGTGCCCGCGGTGGGGAGGACCCCCTGGCCAGGTAGGAGAAACATGAGGGCAACAGGGTTGGGAAATATCCTGGCCACTGGCATGGCAGGAGATGGAGAGAGCCATGGAAAGGCTCCTTACCTGGTTTGGGAGGTTTAGCTCCAACCCCGAGTCCTATGGGAGAGTGAGCGGAGAGGGCTCAGAGCTGTCCTTCCTCTGGGCATCCCCCGGGGGGGACACCCTGTGGGACAGGGCCAGCCTCGTGGCAGACCCCCTGCCCACCACAGGGCAGCTGTGCCAGGGGTGCTGCCCCCCTCCCCATCCCAGCACTCACCTGCTCCCAAACCTCCAACTCCAGCACCTGCGAGCAACGGCACAGCCTGAGCACCCACCCCTATCAGTGCCCACCCACCCACACCAGCCTCCTGGGGGCCATGGGGAGGCACAGAGGGTCACAGGGGTGCAAGGGCATCCTCCCTGGGATGCTCCCAGTCTCGGCAGGGTGTAGGTGCCAGCCCCGGGCCAGTGGCCCCCAGGGTAGGTCTGGCAATGCCACCCAGTCCTGTCCCACACCATGGGGTGGGTGCTGGGATAGCCACCCAGGGCTGAGCAGCCAGACAGGGTGTCCCCATGTCCCCTGATCCCAGCTGGCAGGCCCCCCAGCCTTCCATGGTGTCTCAGAGGCATCCAGGGACCCCCTCAGGCATTGCCCATTCCTTCAAGCCCCTCCCAGTGCTGCCCTTTACCTGGGAAAAAGCCTGCTCCTGGGACTCCCCCTCCCGGGATAGCACCAGGGACCCCTGCAAGAGAACAGAGCCTCGTTAAAATCCCCAAGGCAGGGGCAGGAGGAATGTGTGTGGCACCTCCTGGGATCTGTGCTGCTCCCTGGAGAGGGATGGGATGTGGAGCTCGAGGGCAGGTCCCTTTCCTTGCACCCCTCAGTTCCCCTGGGGTGACAGTGGTGACAAGAAGGAGGGACATGGAACTGGCTGCTGTCCAGCTCTGCTTCCCAAATCCTGTCCTGTACCACAGCCAGCACCACTTCCATCAGCTCCATCTTCTCATGGCTCTGAGGGGATGGGACCAGGCACGGTGTGGGGAGGGCAGGGCTGTCCCAGTTCAGCCCTGCAGCCCATGCTGGTCCCAGCCAAACCCCCTGGCTGGGGCTGCCTCATGCCCTGCTGGGATGCCAGTGGGAAGAGCCAGCTCAGGCCAGTGGGACTGGGGTGACAGACTGGGGGAACCTTCCTGAGACCCATCAGACACCCCCCTGTGTCCCTCTGCCTGGCTGTGTGACACTGAGGTCACCCCCCAGGTCCCATGAGTATCTCAGCTCATGCTCCGAGGTCACAGCAAGGCTTTTTGGCTGTTTAGACCCCGGCAGAAGTGTGTCTGCTGCAGACCACCAGGAAGCCACCCCCTGGGTGGTCCCCCCAGCTCCACCAGGGCCGTGGGTGGGTTGGGGGATGGCAGGTGGGTTGGGGCTACAAGGAGGTTGCAATGCAGGAGGATGTTTCACTTCTGGCACCGGGGGAGGGGTTGCTGTGGGGTCTGCAGTGGGGTTTGCAGGACAGGGGCCTGCCAGGGGGCCTGCCAGGCTGCCATGGCCAGCACCCCTCTGCCAAACTGCAGCCAAACCTCCTGCCTGCGCTGGGCAGAGAGGCTGCAGTTCGGGGTGGACGGGCACTGAGGACCCTGTGGTGGCATGGCTGGGACCTGAGGACCTGCAGTAGCCTCCCCAGCAGCCTGGCCAGGCTAGGGAGTGAACCAGCACCCCCAGGAGCCGAGTGCCCACAGTGACACAGCCCTGGCAACCCCACCGAGGGGCTGGGCAGGGTTGGAGGCAGCGCCCGAGGGGGACGGGCGGGTGGCAGGGCTGGCACACCATGGGGGGGCGGGGGACACATCGTGCTGCACATCCCCAGCTCAGATGTGGAGCAAACTCTGGGGGTTCCCCCTCGTTGTGCCCCGCAGCCCTCTGCCCTGCCCTGCCCCATCGGTGGCAGGGATGAGGGCATTTCTTGTGCCCGGCTCACCCCCCCGGGCACCTGGGATGGACCCCCAGTCCTACCAAGGAGGTGCACTGGGGTGTCAGGACACACACAGGGGTGTCAGGCTGTGTAAGCACGGGGGATATTGGGACACACATCCATGGGGAGGCACATGCAGGGGGGGGTTCCCGTGCCGGGACCTGTCACACAGCCCCCTCGTGCTCCCCATAGGGAGCACCCTAACCCTGTGCCCACTAATACCCCCTCCCAGGGTCCTGCCGGGGCCAAGGGCCCTGGAGCAGCTGATGTCCCTTGGAATGGAGGGGACACGGGCTCAGCCATCGCTCCAGCTGCCGGCTCCCCGTTCCGGCACGGCACAGTCCGGCCTGGCAGCCGGCCGGGGGTTATGGAGCAGCTCCTTTTCCCGGCATATTCCCCGCCCGCTCCCTCCCCCCTTCCCCCCCTCCCCCTCCCGTCCGCCCCCAGCTTGGATAAACAAAAACGCAACTTCTCGCTTGTTTCCAAACAAACTCAGAGCGTCCACGCACCGCCTGTGCTTCCCCCTCCCCGCCCCGCCCTGCTGGGAGGGGACACTCCACTGCCACTGGGAGCGAGTGCCGCTGGGATGGCCAGGATCCTGCCAAGGACCCCCATGCCCACAGCCAGAGAGAGCTCCCCACCAGGGAGGGGCTGCTCAGCCCCCCCGGTGCTCCCCAGCCTCAGCCCCCCACAGCCAGGCCAGGTCCCCAGTGCTGGGGTGGTGCTGGGGGGTCTCCTCTGCCTCCCTGTGTCTCCCCAGGCTGATCTCCCTCTGCCCCCCTGTGCCAGTGACCCCGGGGAGCTGGGACAAGGCAGGATGGCTTCCAGCACCCCTGCAGCGCACGGGCACCCCAGAAAGGCCCAGGTGGCACCTGCCCACAGCCCTTCATCATCGTCACCTTCCACGTGGATCCTGGCTGGAGGGTCCCGCTGTGGGGACACTGTCACTGCCCCCTCCCCAGGCATCCCCCAGACACCACCCCAGCCCCAGGGCACGGTGCTCATCCCAGTGCCTCGACAGCTTTTGGAGGCTGTGCGGGTTCATCAGCCATCTCCACGCCCAGATCAGGAAGTGGGGGTGGTCATCAAGGCCTGGCAGAGCCAGGATGGCCTGGGGGGACACCCTGTGCCTTTGGGGAGCTGAGCCTTCCACTCAGGATGGCTGACCCCTCTGCTGCCAAACACAGCCACTTCTGCCCTTCTCTGGGAGCTCTTTCACAAGCTGCTCATCCATGGCCTAGCTGGGGGGCTGTTCCCTGGTGCAGGCACTGCTGGGGGGCCTCTCTAACCCATTTGGTTTTACAATTCCCCCCCAGCACCACCAGTCCCTCCCATGGGCAGCACCAACACTCACCGAGTGTTGGCAACAGCCCTGCTACACTGTGACCACACCAGGCCACAGCCATCACCCTCTGGCTGGTCTCTCTGTCCTTTCCCAGCCTCAGGGAGAGCAGCCCCCAGCCCAGTTTGGGGTCTGCATGCCCCCTTTTGTCCTTTCCATCCCTTCCCTTGGCACATGGGGAAGGGAAAACTGAGTCCCCAGTCTCCCAGCACTGAAGGAGCTCTGTGCTGCCTCTGCCCCTGCCCCAAGCCTGCCAGGACCCACAGAGGGGGGTCTCCCAGTGTCCCAGCTTGTCTCCTGGACCGTGCTGGCTATAAACCTGCAGAACATGATGGTGGCCCCCAGTATCCCAGCATCCACCCCAGGGATGTCTTCTCCATCCTGGGCCAGGAGGATTCACACCCACATGCCCGCTGTGGTGGGGTTTGACCCACGGAGGTGCTCAGGATTTGGTGTGGAGTCTCACTGTCTACAGAAAGTGGCCTTTTTCTGCCCCACTTCCAGCCCAGAGGTCACTGTTTGTGGTACCCACACTGTTCTGCTGCCGGTGCTGCTTCCCATCCCGGCAGGATCAACCGCTCCATTCCCACCTGCCCCACTGCTCACAGCTGACTCCACGAGCCAGAAATCCAGATGATTTCTCTATTCCACAGCTTCTGAGACTGAGGCCAGGCTGGAGACCCCCCCATAGGCCAGGAGCTCACACCCTCCCTGGGCAGCCAAACCTCGTCCCTCGC